CTAATTTTTCAACCCCTATTTTTCCTACAATGAAGACAGTGAGTAGACAAGAAAACAGATATGGAAATACCAACCACCAGTGATAAAAAGCTTGACCGAGGGGAGCCACTAGCTCTGGAAAATGAGAGAGGGGAGGAAGAAGCAGGAGATGACCCTGAGGGTCGATGAGTTGTAAATGTCAGATGGATCTAGCATTTTAGAGACTCATCTTTGAAGGGAACAGGAATTCCAAAACATCGAAGTAATGTGATCTAAAGCAGAACACAATTACAATTTATTGAGGGTTTACTATTGGGCAGGCACTAATTTAAGTGGTAGTCATGTACATTATTTTACTTAATATTTCTATTTTATAGTACTTGGCACTTCATAACAGTCTTCAAATATAATATATAATGTCCTAATTGATCCTTACAATAACTTTATGAAGTATTTGTATGGCACAGATGCTACAGCTCCCCTGGTTCTTAGGCGCCCTCCTCATTATTCTTTGAGCAACCACTTTGATCAGGTGGAATATGAAATGAGACTGTTTTGCATTCTGGATAGACTGTAAGTGGTGACTATTTGAAGTCCACTGACTCTTTTTGCTGGCTAAATTTTTTAAATCACCCTATAAGTTCATCATAAATTAACCTATACAATTTTATAGTACTTGGCACTTCATAACAGTCCTCAAATATAATATATAACGTCCTAATTGATCCTTACAATAACTTTATGAAGGATGCATTTTTATGCCCACTTTTTAGGTTAATGTTAGAAAGGTTAACTGACTTGTTTAAGTCACACAGTTGATAATTGACAGAACTAGAATTGATACCAAGATCCACTGGCCAACTTCAAAATGTATGTCTTCTCCACTGTTTCATCATCATCTCTTATCTTTAATCTTTCTGCAAGACATTATATTCTCCCCAACTTTGAGTTACTCTGATTTCATCCAGTACCTCGCTTCCACCAATAATCTTTCCTAAGTTACTTAGTAGGTGTCACTCCCATGATCTCCCATACTGTTCTAAGCTTGTTTTTGCCCTGGCCATGCATCAAAATTACCCATTTCCTAGTCTGCCTCCCTTACCACACAGTAAAGCCTTGGACAGGACTGCTTTCTGTGTCCTCAATGCCTTGCACAGTTCCCAGCATAAGAGAGATCTCAAAAAGTTACTTACCGAATATAAAATTGAAATGCACACATTCATAACTGCTTCTTGGTGGCTGAGTATACTGGCAATGAATATCCATTGCTCTCCTGTGCTGTGAAGCATCCAGGTTCTCAGCATGATAGGCTTTGCCCTTGTTTTAAAGAGCTCACAGATTCCTCTGCTTCAG